ATTATAAACAGACACTTGTAAAGAAATAACATTCATATCAACCACTGTCACTTTTAAAAATTTATTTAACAAGCAGGACTACACCTGGTCATTGACAAACAGGATAACTGAGGTACAGTATTAATCTGTCTCTCTTTACCTAGAATTCCAAACTAGACACGAGAAAAATTAAACAGAGAGAACTCCAATTCCTGTATCAAATTAATTCAATAAGCCTTTATATTTATGTAATGTGTGAATATTTTTTGCATACTTTCTGACTAGGAGATACTCTAGTATTTCACGCCATACAGTACAGATTGCTAAATATACAGTTCCTCAATAAGCAAGGACAGAAGCATTTATTTGAAAACAGGAAACCATATTTTCAGCAGAAAAAATAATGCTACATTGGAAGAGATAGACTCTATTTGACAACAGTGCAAAGTATTACATCCCCTCACCCTCTCAAAAAAAATCAATGCTTTCATATCTAATGAAGCTTGAGAACTGTTTTTAGATATTGTAAAATACATGAAACCCAATAGTGCTTCACCTGGAATATTTTCATGTCGAAAATTTGGGAGTAACATAGCTTAAAAGGATAGCACATCTCCAGATATTGATCAGGGCTTTGTACAGCCGCAATGCCATAAAAATGATCTGCAGCTATAAAAGAGATAACATGATTATGAGTACACTACATTGTAATTTCCTTTGGGCAGTCAGAAAGGAAAAACAATCTGATAGTCTCTGAGGAAAATAAGCTTGCAGGATATCCACCATCTGATAGATGAAACATTTTACAATATTCCAATTAAAGAATCATCCAAATTTAAATTAACAACAACAACAAAAATAAAACAAGAACTTTACCTTTCAACCACAAAACAAGAAGCAGCTGAAAAGCTAAGCAGCTCACAATGTAGAGTTTTAATGTTCCAACTTCCTTGCGAGTTCAGGCATGGAACATAAATAGTTAACCTTATTCTAAGCCATTAAATGTAGCTTACTAAAAAGCTTGCTCTAATAAATGGTATGATATGAAGGTCAGCCCTTAATTCACCATCAAAATATCTTCTGGGTGTAAACATAATGACTTCTGCTTATGCACTACACAACCCTGACAAGAATGCTACTTGACAATCCATTTCAGACCTAGAAAAACGTTCTCATTTGCGTCAAGGTGCTGAATGTCAGCAGATTCACTAACACGCTTATTTGCACTGCAGTGGTGGAACTGAGTGAAACACCATGAGCACTCCATACCCCGCTGCTGCCTGGCTAGGGAGATGGTGAAATAAAACAAGATTTAATCCTGTCCATATCACTGTGCAGTTGGTGAAACTTGACAAGTCAACATTAAGTATTCAAAGTGGTATTGTGGCCTAAAGGGATCACATGCAGCCTGCACATAAGAGCAAAGAAATAGCTTGGTTCTGCTTCGGTGTTTGTAAATTCAATTTGTTCAAGGAAAAGCAACTCTGGAAGGGATTACTAGCTAGGATCAACACTCTTACCAAAGAAAAATAGAAAATGCAAGGAGGAATAATATTGACGTTTCTGTAATACAAAATAGCTTTTTGGGCTTAAGTGAATAAATAAAATTTGGAGGCGATTGCAGCTCAACCCCAGCATATGAGAATATTCCACTTAGTGTTCCTGAGTAGGAAGGCCTGGGAAGCCTGAGTTTTTCATGAAAATTGGATAGGAATTTAGAAAACACGGTATTTTACAAAACGTTAAAATTTATTTAGCAAAATATTGTCAGGTATTGTTTCAGTACAATACCTTTTTCTTTAAATAAGTGGGGCAAAAATATTCATTCATATAATAATATCGAATATATTGACTCTTAATTATTGCCAAGATCTCATTCCACAGGTGCAGGGAAGGTAATCAGGAAGTAAAATGTGTAAATCCCTGGTGCCTAGGAAACATGGAGCCTGTGAATATATACACACATGGAAATGAAGAAAAACCAAGACCTATAGCAATGCACTTCGGAAATAAAAGTACAAGCAAAACCTGCATATACCCTTTGCTAAGTGTAGCTCTGTATTTACATTGTCTGCAATATCTTTGAATAGAATAATTATTCAACTATTTGAAGTCATCTCTGGTCCTCCAGCAGGAAATGAGCACGAAATTCCTGAGTCTGTAAAATGCTCTTTTTGCTAAACAATGGAGGAGAGACGTGCTGGCAACCCCTCTGGGACTCAGCATGGGTGGGAAGGTGCCCTGAAGATGTATTTGCTTTTAAAGATGTATTGCCCTTTCAATACAAATTAGGGACTACTGGGGTAGAGGGTGGGGAGGGCAGTGATCACAGAACTGTCCCTATTTTGTTTTAGCAGGGGTCCTTTCGATGATTAAACCTCCAAATGGCTGCTAAATACAATGTATGTTTTTCTACAGTGAAGGACGATGAATACCTTTTCCTTACAGATTGATACTTCAAACATAAAGCAGAGAAAGATAAGCACTGCCAGCAAGAAATCTAAAAATATGTCTTCTTAAGCTTGATTAATGAGCTAATAAAAAGCTATAATAAGAAAAAAATCCAATTAAAGCATCTTGTGATATTTCTCTCAAACAAAAATAAAAATCCAAGAGCACGGTAAAACTTTGAAAAATTAGTATGATTCAGACAACAGCCTTAGTATTCAAGCCTATAATACATCAATTTTATACTTACTTTGACTGGCTGTCCTTTTTTTATCATCTCTGATGTGTATTGTCTGAAATTGTGATCCTTAATGAGTTTTATTTTGTTATTGCCTCACAAGTATATCATCTGAATTTAAATAAAGACATATTAAAAACTCTGGTATTATACAGATTGTAGGTACTTATTCTATTCAGAAAACCTAAAGGCCTCTAGCAGAACATGTAGAAATAACGGTAAAGCCAGTGGAAAAACTATATACTATCAGGTATATATAAAGTCAGAAAACAAATTAGCCACACTTCTCACTAACGGACAAAAGAGAGAATAGAAAATTTATATTGTAATAATCACGTTTCATCAGTCTTTGGTACCTGAAGTGATCAAAGTACACAGGAGCAGCGACGACGCTGGGAAGGAACCGTAAAACACACAGAGGTAGGAAGGGCTGAAGATTTGACGCCAGAGGAGAAGCACGTGCACCACAAAGAGCCGCAGCACGGCCCCGGCAGCACCTGCAGGGGAGCAGCGCTCAGCCGGGGGCCCTGCAGGCTGAGAGGAGGCCAGCACACCAAGGGCTCCCCGAGGGGAAGGCAGCACACCAGGGGCACCCCGAGGGGAGGGCAGCATCCCAAGGGCTCCCCGGAGGCGCAGAGCTGAGGCACAGCGAAGAGCAGTAGGGCAGGGACAGTCTACAGAGAGTCCGAAAGAAAAGAAGCCTGGGCATCTCGTACCAGTTATTCTGTTGCTATTCTAATAGTACAGAAACTATTTATTTTCACTTGCTGGAAGGTCCTCAGGCACCAGCGAGTGTCCGACGCTCCCGAACAGGCGCGTCCCCTCTCCCTCTGTACGGGACCCCCGCCGCAAACGCTGCTGGCAGCTGAGGCGCGGAGCGGGCCACCGGGCCCGGCTCCTCATGAATTTTAGAGTATTTCTTAAACAATTAAAACGTCTTAGTGAACACTCTCTAATTAGGCAGAAATAGTCTTTGTCTCTTTATACAGTTCAGTGAACATTTGGTGTTTTTTTAAAAATTCCTTTATTTCAAGTTGTGGTTCAAGACTTCGCTGAAAAGCGTGAAATATCAAATGTATTTTATTTCCTCATGAGCTGCCAGCAGTGTTTCACGAAGGAATACTTTTTCAAAATACTTTCGTTTGATTACGAGGTTTGCCTTTTCTAATTTGACAGCAAGAAAACCAAGCTACACAAAGCCAATGTTGTATCTGCCTGTTTAAGAACCCGCCCACGACTCCTGAAATTTACATTAACAACAAAGTTGACTTCAGCTATTTCAGGCGGCGCCTGGGAAGACACTGAGCCCCGTTGCACACGGAGCAATTGCGGGGCTGGGGGCCGAGCCCGGGCTCGCCGCGGAGCTCCCGAGGGCGGCAGAGCCGATGTCAGGGACGCGCTGCAGCCCACGGCGGGTCAGAGCTGCCTTCCCCTCCCTGCTGCTCCCTGCTCGGCCTGGTTCCTGCAATGAATAGCGCCGGCCATTACTTCAGTCCAATACTGGAAACTTTGAAATCCCACAATTCCGATGGTTTTACTTTTTAAAAAAGAACAGCTTTGTTGTTTTAAAAAATGTTTGATGTCTCCTTCCCCGCTGCTTTCCTGATGGAACGTGGTGTCACTTTGTTTTCACAAGCACATTTCTGACGCCAAAGTAGTCCCTGGCCTCAGCATCAGGACACATGCCTGATCCCAGAAAGGGTCCAGCTACGACCGACAGAGCTGCTGCCCAAGAGAAGCTGTACGAGAGGCAAGAGACAAAGCAGCAACGCGTGGGTGTCGCCTGCTGCCCGGGTGGCGGCACCTGGGCGCCTACCAGGAGGGAAAAAAGAGCAACTCGGAGAGCGCAGGAAAGCAAGCCTGGGAACGTCCCTGCCGGGCCTGGGGGCTGCCGAGGGCAGAGCGGGGGGCTGCCTGGGAGCGCACGGAGCTCTCCAAACCGAGGCACTGCACACACTTTCCAGCAGCTCCGGCCAGCAGCAGCCCCGTGGACGGCTCGCCCAGTCCCCCGGCAGCGCCGGGGGCGGCCCGGGCGGGGTCCCCGGCACCGCCACGAACACGCCTGTGGGCGTTGAGCCGCCCCGTCCCGCCTCCGCAGAGGCCGCAGCCGCAGTCCCCCCGCTCGCTGTCCCGGCCTGCCGGCAGGCTCGACACCTCCCGGCCCCGCTCGCTCCCAGGCCGGCCCGGCAGCGCGGCCCTCCCGCCGCCGCTTCCACTCCTGCGCACTGGGTGCGCCCCCCGGGCCGGCCGCGGCCAGGGGCGGGCGGGGGAGCCGCCAATTGCGGCCCCGCGGGGAGCGGCTGTGGCGGGGCCACCGCCCCGCTTGCAGGGCAGGATGGAAGCGGAGGGCCGGTTACCGGGACCAGCGCTCCCCACCGGTGGGGAAGGGCCCGGGACCGACTCGCATCTCGCTGCGGGTACCCTCGGCACGGCCCGGGGGCCGCTGCTCGCCGCCGCCGAGGTGTTGGCGCTGGACGATGAGGAAGATGACCTGGAGGTGTTCAGCAAGGTACGGCAGCGCCCTCCGCGCCGGGGGCGGCCGGGCGGGCTCGCTGGTACTTTGCCCCAGCGGGCGCCGGGCGGTACGGGACGGGACGGGATGGGACGGGAGGGCTCCGCCCCGGGCGGCGATCGCGGCCTCTGCCCGCCCGCCCCTCGCACGCGCGGTGCTCCCGGTGCCCCGGGGCTGCTGACGGGCCGGGCTGGGCAGCCCCAGGGCGCGGCGCTGACGGGGGCAGCGCTCGGCGGTGCCCGCACTCCCGGGCTGCTTCTCGGGCACAAAACGCGGAGTTGCTGCTTCGGACTAGCAGTGCGAGTCGTGACTGCGCTTACCTTAAACGTGCCGTCTAATCTGGGCTCGCTGTTCCCTTATCGTCAGTTACGTTCGTCAGGTGCCATATAGGTATCTGTAAATTAAATAAACAGTCGTGTTTAGTACTTGCAGTTGTGTTTGAATGGAAAAAGATGTTTCAAAGTTTCAGTTTGAGTTCTCTTTTAAAAGATGAGGTCTCACACCTTTACATAAGAGATTTGAGAAGATACCATCTGAATTTTGATGAAGGGAAATAAAATGAACATAACTGACAATGTATTATGGTATGCGTTCAGAGAGCACACAGCCAGGTACATGCGTGCCAGTCTGGCTGATAGTGCTGGTTTTAATTAAACCAATGAAAGGGGGTATGGCTTCCACGTAGATTGTTTCACATTTAGTACTGATTTAGTGCAGGTTAAGAAAAGACTTATGTCTTGTCTCCTCAGTAGCTAAAGAAGATGGCATGTCATGGATCTATTTGCCTTATCACGGCAGCATCTAAAATATAAGTGCATACATGGAGCTAGGGTGGAAAAAATATATATGGGGCTGGAGTGTCATTCACCATCTGAGACTTGTGAACTGCTGTGACACGACGTGTGCCATGGGAGAGAAATAGCAGTTACAGTTCTGATTTTAAAAAGTGACATTGTGTTTCTATTCAGTAGGACACATTGTCATAGGGAGTAATGTTTGGTTTTTGTATTTCTGTAGGTGAGAAACATTGTTGTGGTATGCAAGAATGCAGCTATTGGAATAGACTTCCTTCTTAGGAGCTATGTATTTAAACTCTGACTGTAATAGAATTCTTGAAACTCATGGCTTTTAATGCCAGAAGGGACTCTTAGGTGATTTAATAGTCTGTAACGTGCAAGAGATTAGGCTAAATTTCACCAAGTTACATGTATTTTTCTGAAGCATAACTAGGGTCAAGATGAATTATATTTTCTTGGAAAACACCAGTCTTGATTTGACATAAAAAGATGAATGATTCACTGAACTTGCACGGAGAAGCAGTGCTAAAATATAACTTTAGTTGTTTATGTTCATTTTGCATCCCTTTCCTTTTATGAGTGAAATTCAGGCAGTTCTGCATGAAGGTATCTGTTTACCAACACAGTGTATTGATGCTTATGCTGCTTGCTTGTCAAGAGCAATTCTCCTTGGGAATAAAAAATAGAAACAAGTGGAGTTGATACAAGTTACTGCTCCTTTATGGCAAATATTGAGATCTTTAAATTTCTACCTGGATTCATGCCAATTACTTTTTACATATATGAAATCTTAACTACATATATGATAAGTTATTCCTGCAAAAAAGAAAATTTGTCATATTATATGAAAATATGGCTTTCCTTCCAAAGCTTGGATACCTGCATGTAGTGGTTGTATATATCAACCAGAAATTCATGATTTGTTTTCAAGTGCAATTTGAGATCTGATCTTTTGAGCTGATTAAAACCTGTGAGGTTGGTTGGGCTTTATACTGTATTTATTCATGTTCCATATATTCAAAGGAATCTGACAGGCTGAATGTTTTGTAAAAGCAGGTTTTCCATAACACACTGTTCCAGGACTAATGGGGCTCCTCATGAAGTGTGTGCAAGGCAGTGGTGCAGCCTTTGCAGGCCAGGCAGACGGCAGCAGCCATGCAGAGCTCGCTGCCTGCCACTCCCAGCTTCATCTTTCTCAGTCTAGACAGTGGAATGTGCCAGCTAACAAATGGTGAAAAATGAGATTCTTAAAAATTGTCAACCTCAATACCCCGAGTTATTACTCAGAATGTAAATGCTGGCTTTTATTTTATGAAAATCCATATATGTTTAACCTGATAGTGTTATAAACCATTGACCTGGTATCCTCTGACATATCTCAAATATTACAGACCAGCATCTTCAGCAGCTCTGATAAAGCATTTCATGATGTGATATACCTTTCACTTTTTATCCTAGTTTCCACTGCCACTGAAAAAGTTCTGAATTCTTTAAAGCAGAGACAAATTCTGGGAGCTATGAGTCACACAGATGGAATGTTTTCAACCTGCTTTCTTCCCTTAGCTTCTAAGTATAGAGTACTGCCTGCATCACAAATACCCATTCAGTTGTCTTTTGCATTCCTTGATAACTGATACGTAGCATTGACAAAGCTGTCAGCAATTCGGTTAATACTTAAAATCTTCAGCACCTCTGCTTTCAAGCTCTGTTTCTCTGCATTTCATAATTACAGAAAACTTAATGATATTCCTGAAGAACGTGTATATGCCACTTCAGAATTGCATAGAGACTAATTTTTCTTCAAGTTCATCAAGGATTTGAGACAGAATAGTTCCTTGGCCAAAAATTTTACTTATAAATCAGCCTTCCTGGATCTCTTTGCTCTTTGAAGAATGCTCCAACAACCAAGCTATTCACTTATAAGACAAACTCTGCCCCATGTCCTTTATCTCAAGACTTGGTTTTGGATCCTGGCTTCAGATCATTGCAAGCTCTGGATCCTTGCTGGGATGGATGGATGGATGGATGGATGGATGGATGGATGGATGGATGGATGGATGGATGGATGGATGGATGGATGGATGGATGGAGCACAGAGGTAACCTTGGGTCAAGACCTGTGCTGTGGGAGGGAGCCTTGTTAAGACAAACTCCCAGGCTTAGTGTCTTCTCCAAAGAGCTGCAGTCTCAGCTGTGTGTGTAGCCTGTTTTGAGGCTGCTCTGGGTGTAGGAGTGTTTTCTTCCCATATATATTTTGGAGTGTTACTGACCAATTGCAGTCAAATGTGAGACTGACATAGGGTAACTGCAAGTATGAGAGGAAAGAGACCCAGAAAAAGATCTCATGCTGTGAGAAGCTCATTGATTTTCTATCACTTTGGTCTCTTGGCCAGTAAATCAAAAGGCACGAACCTGTTTGTGGACTGGCACACACAGCTCTGCCAACTGCTCTGTCAGGAGGGAAGGGGCTTGGAAAGAGAAAGGGTACTGCAGGTAGGTGGGGATGGGGGAGGTGTGGGAAAAGACATCATTTTCTGGGACAGGGCCTTGATGCTCTTTGCATGGAAGAAGGTTGCACAACCCAAGAGCTAGAAGAATTGTCTGTTTTTCCTGTGCTGCAAAACTCCTGCCCTCATCTGTATGCACACAAAAACATAGTTCCAACCACGAAATTACAGCTATATAGAAAATTATAATTTTTTTTTTGCTGTGTTTCTGTGATGACATCAGACTTAGGTCACATGAACTTCAAGAATTACTAGGAGTGAACTTGAACTATCATGAGGATAAAGAGGCAGATGCTTGTTTAAACTCATATGTATTCATTCGTGTACACATGAATACTAGAGCTGTATTAAACAAAACCAAGACTTGTGTGGAATTTTATTGCACATATTTTGTTTCTCAAACTATATATTTATAAGCCCTTTCACATAAACATATACTTTCAGACACGTACATGAATAGAGCAATTTTTAGTAGCAACCTAGAAGAAAGAATGAAACGTTAAGACATTAATGCTCCATGGAAAATGAAAAAATATGAAACACATTTACCTTGATCCAATTTAGACCTTGCAGAGTCATTACTCCTCAAATTATATGGCTATTCAAGTCCCTTACATGCTCACATGCATTTTTCTTTCCCTTGAAATTTCCCATTGCCTCAGCACTTTGAATTGCATGGGCTGCTCTGAGCTAGCAGTCCTCATTCTTCACCCAGACCATGGGCAGCCAGTGCTAGCAAGCTCTGGGACCAGCTCTGTTTGTTCTGCATGACTCAGGATAGTGCTGGATAGAAATCATGCAGAAACACACTGAGTAAAAGTAAAATGACTGACAGGGGTACAGGGAAGTACTGTGTAATATTTAAAGCGTTGTCTTTAGTCTTGTGTGTTGCTTTTGTCTCCTTGTTCAAAGAACTGCACGTAAGTGATGGGAGGGGTGCTGGTACATAAGCACTTTCTGGGCATATTCTGGGCATAATTCCTGGTATAGATGTCTCTTCCATATTTGTGGGAGTACATTGATGAATCCAAAGATAAAGAACAAGATAAGGTGTTTCTTTCCAGAGAGTTTTGATCCAGGTGAATTCAAATGCAAAAAGCAACTCTCACACTGCTCAGCAGTAGTACAGTGAGATTCTCTTCATTCCTGTGACATCAGCCTTGGGATGCTGCTGTGACTCCAGTTAGTGTGGACTCTCCCTTTCCAGTCCTGCCATTTGAGGACTTTTCTCTTTAACTACATCCCTGTTCTCCTTCCTCCATAGTTACCAAGGCACTGGAGAGGGCAACTTATAGTGTAGTCTAACTACCCTTTAAAAAAACTTGTAGAAAGGAGATTAATTTTAAATTTTGCTATGAAAATAATTCTTTGCATTGCATGTATTAAAAAAGCCATATATAGTATTTGACACTTAAAATATAGTGGTTTATTTCAATTTCTCTATTATCTCTAATGATTTATTAATTTGTTATGCTCTTTTATGAAGTTAATTAAATTTATTTTCATAGTAACTGTATCCTTCAAGATTCAAGATTAGTAGATCTCACGCAGACTTGTATCTAAGGAAGAAAATGAGATTTCTTGCCTTTTTACAATTTCTACCTCGTTTCTCAGCAGTTGAGTGAGCACCATTGAATGCAGTAGCAGAAGCAGCTGCTATGGAGACATATTTTTACTGAGATATGTGGAAGTGATCAGTGATATCAAAAAGAGGTTTTTCACTTCAGCAAAACAGTAGTTTGACTTTTCTTAGCAATTAAGCAGCACATTTGTACTGCATCTTTACTTACTGTTTTCCTTAAAAAAAACCAAAACCACAATTTATGTACCTGTAATTGTTTTCCATTTCAAATTTTATTTTAAAATAATTTCAAACTGAAACATCCAATTCCAGTGAAAATTCTGATTTGTTTTTTGCCTTGTTTTTTTTAAATCATCATTTTTTTAATCCATCCTGTTCAGGTAATTAGAGATGCTTCAAACATCATAAGTAATGGCTTCTAACAATTTTAATAAAACCGATAAGTACCCTACACAGTTAATGAGTGCTTGGTTCATAGCTAATTTTAATATTCATAAGCAAGTTCTCTTTCTAGCTATGCATAACATTCTTCTCAAATGGTAGTATTTTGTTCTTTCATCCATTTTACAATAAACCTCATTTCTTACATCCTCACCAAAGCAAACACTGAAAAGGATAATAGATTTGCTATGAACTATGTAATTTTTTCATCTGCTCTGAGTTGTATCTGTTCTGTGAGATTATTTTGAAGCTTGCCATTGGAGACATGTTTGTATACAAAGATTATTGATGTGGATGTTCTCATGTCTTATCTGTAGGATACATCTTTCACTGAGGTAAACTCATTCAGTCCTTCAGTGCCAATATCCCCCTCATCAATGATAAACCAGTATAAATTTGAAGATGGGCCAGAATTAAGAGATCTCTTCATTACAGTCGATGATCCAGAGAGCCACATTACAGCCATTGAAACATTTATTACATACAGAGTAGTCACAAAGGTAAGTATCTATTCATGGTTTCATGGCTTACTTTGATAACAATTGGTATTTTCACTCTTCTTGCACACCATTCTCTGGCATATTACTAAATTTAAACTTTAATTTTGCCATGAGTTACAGACAACTAAAACTGCATGAAATTGTGCTGTATAATGGAAAAAAATCCAGTGTGAGTCTGCATACACTGAATGTGCTTAAATTCTTTATGTTGAGAAACTAGTTAATAATTCTTCAGTGGCAAAAGGAGTGCTGTGAGGCAATAACATTTTCTGTTGTGATCTTCAGCAGGAACAGGAGACAGCTAAAGGGCTGATCCACTTTGAAGACACTATATTAGCACAAGTATTGATGACTTTTAGATCACCTACAGGCTACCAGTCTTATGTCTTGCATAAACATTACCCCTTACAGTCTTTCAATTCCTTTCTTTTCTAATTGCAGTATCCATTAGCACATGGATGTCTGCTTCCCATGTACAGTTGCTTGTGATTTCTGGGGAAACTGCCACAATTCTCTAATGAAAAAGTAGCATTAGGAAACAATTAAGTGTATTTTTAGTTGTCCTAAATGCAAGTTATTTACAGGAAATAAGGAAGAAAGTCAGCCTTGTGAGACCAGCCAGGTCTTCTGAGATTACCAGTAAATATTCTGCAGGCTCCATTTTGAGAATTGCACTGTTGATTTATTTTACTTTGAGTTCTTTTTAAAAGATTAATTTAAAAGCAAATTTTCAAAATGGGCATTATTCATCTTTAAATAAGAGAAGATATCAATTCCTCATAAAATATTTAATGAGTAAGAAGAGAGCTATCTTTGTTAGGTTGCTAGCAATAATTTTCACTTTATGCCAGTTTCTGTAGACAAGTGAACATTTTTTCTTTAGGCAAGTATGAGAGGGCTATAAGGTGGATTGCTTTTGCTTTTTTTATCTCTTCTATCCTTTCTTATCATATTTAATTTGGAGTGCTGCTTGTTGATGATAAAGTAATAGCATTCCTCCCACATACCTTGAAAAAATTTTATTCAACCCTCAAAAATGTTTAGATTACAAAAGCATGTTTTGAGGTTTTTAGAATTTACTTGCATCGCGTTATAAATCTCTGTGCAACAATGAATGCTAAATAGCACGCATTAATGAAAACATGGGCTCTTTGTGGCTTGCCTCCAGAAGACAGAGCAGTGGTAAAATAAATCTCATGGTCTGACAATTTTATAATCTGTAATAAGCATTTCTTATAGGCATTAAAGGTTTGTTGGCAAGTTCTAACAGGGGGCTGCAAAACTGGAATCGATGATGGGCTGCAGAATCCGTTGAACAGTGCAGGAAGTGTTATTGCTGTTACATGATGAAGTTTCCCTGTTTTGAATGTGAGGATTATTGAGTAATGTCACCAGGTCCCAAGGGTGTGTGTCAGCTCTCTGGGCTTTGTTCAGAGTGCTAAAAAATGGACTTTCCTCACTTGTAAATTACTAATCACTTTAAAAGAAGTGCCCTACAAGTAATGAACATAACTATGATTGCTGAAAGAAAAATGTCACACTAAAGTAATTATTGCAATAATTTGGAAGCGTTGTGGTAAGATAATCATTACACGCCACTGCACAAAGTGCAGCTTTGTACTCACATTTCTTTTCCCCAACAGAACTTTGATGTCTTGCTGAAATAGGATGTGTTAACTCTTCAAGGAATTAATCATTGTTCTTTAAAATAACAGCAAACCAGTAACAGGGACCAAACAGAATGTATGCATTCCCTCAAGTACTCAGTTTTCTCCAAAATTTAAAACTTTTTCTTTCTGGTATTCTTACCTAGGCCTGTTTTTTCTGTTTTTGGTTTTCAGACAACCCGTGGTGAATTTGACTCCAGTGAATATGAAGTTCGAAGACGGTATCAGGATTTCCTTTGGTTGAAGAGCAAACTTGAAGAAGCACATCCAACATTGATTATTCCTGTTTGTTTGCTAAAACTTAAGTTATTTTTCTTTGTTTATAAGATGGCTCCAGTTTTGTACAGAGATGTTTGAGGTCTTTCTTCAGCTTCTGAAGTTTCACAAATATTAAGCCAACCTATTTTCCTTAGCTTTATAAGTATGTGACAAAAATCACATAAAGGTATTTCTTAGGTTTTTAATTGTGGCATTTGCAGTTATATGCAGTAATTTATGTCCTTTCTTAGTTGTACTTGTGTTCTTCTGCACTATATATTACAAGAAAAATAGTATATCTTCGTTGATTATGGTAACTTTATATAGCTTTTGGGCTATTGCATGGTGGATTTTACAAGATATACCTATGTTTTTTAGTAAGCAGAAGAACTATTTTAATACTTCGAATATTATGCAAATAATACAATATATTTCTTCTTTATTTCCTTAGCCGTTGCCTGAAAAATTCATAATGAAGGGAATGGTGGAAAGATTTAGTGATGAATTCATTGAGACTCGAAGAAAAGCTTTACATAAATTTTTGAACCGTATTGCTGATCATCCAACTTTAACTTTTAATGAGGACTTCAAAATTTTCCTTACTGCACAAGCCTGGGTAAAATGCCTTTGTTTTTACTTATAGTCATGTGAAACCACATGATGTGTTAGTAGGGTATATCAGGAGCCTCCCTGGTTCAGTACTCAGTAGTGTCATCCTATGGTTTGGTACAGAAGTGGCAGAAGCAGACAGGGATTTGTGGAATATTCATGACCCATCACAGATAACCTTTTCTTATGTGGTTTTGGTAATCAGGCACATGACCATAAATATTGCTATACCTTCCAAAGTTGGTTTTGTTACTGCATTTTGGATTTTTATGGCAAATTCACAGTATTTCAGCTCTGCATGTTTTTTGGTACACATACAAGTTTCCAAGATTATGAGGAAAATAGTGGTCTTAATTAATTTTTTTTTCCTGGCACTGTCTTTTTTTTTTTAAGTTCTACTAATCTCATAAAAGAAAAATACAGGTTTTTTTCTTGTTTCACTGTTGTAAAATGTGTCCAGTTGCAAATTGAGTTTTATACTCAGAAAAGCCTTCCTATGAATTTCAGCAACGGTTATTCTAGCAACATATAAAATAAGTTTAAAACAATAGATGGATTCCTTCCTCCAGTAGGGGTATTGTCTGCTTTTCTCAAAGACTTATTTCTGTAATCATTATCCCTGCTTTCCTGTTTAAAAAGCTAAAAATTGCAAACTAGCTAACTCACCCTCAGGAGTGAAGGGGTGAAGGTTCTCTGTCATCTTTTGCCATTCTTGTGACACTGTCATGCCTGTATTTGCTCAGAAAGGCTTAGCTGATAAATGCACAAGACAGGGATTCATCTGACACTGGTCTAATAATGATAAGATTTATACAGTAAAAAGACAGAGGTTTATATATGTAGTTTTGTTAAAAGAAAAAAAAAAAAAAGACGCTTGATTTATTATTTTCAGAGAATTAACAAAAGTACCTGGAAGTAAAGAGAGCTTGTTCTGTCTTTAGGAACTCTCGTCACACAAGAAGCAGGGTCCTGGTTTGCTGAGCAGGATGGGACAGACCGTCAGAGCTGTAGCATCCTCAGTAAGAGGAGCAGTTAAAAATCGTCCTGAAATGTTTACAGAAATGAACAGTTACATGGAAACATTTAGTCAGAAAATAAACTTACTAGATAAAATAGCTCATAGGATTTACAAGGAAGAAAGGGGTAAGTAGAAAACATGTATAAGTTTTATTGATTTAAGAAATTAAAAAGTAAATTAGTTTTCATTGTGGCAGGCAAAATAACATTTTCCGCAAGCAAGGAATAAGGGAGATTTTTATGTTTATATTGTGTTTTTCTTTCTGGTCATGTTTTTGGCAGACCTTCAAGTTTGAATAATTTTTTAATAGGAAGAATTTTAACATGTCATTCAGCTACTTATAAGGAACTTAGAAGAATATTTTAGCATGTGCTTTTTGGAAAGCTGCATGACCTTTGGTTTTTAACTTTCAAGGGTTTGTACAGTTTTCTGTGCAATCTCATAGTGACATGAGGATGTCTTGATTCCAGGTCTCTAAACTTTTCTTTGTTTAGTTTTGTTCTGCAGCATTTTTCTGCTGAAAAAATAGATACTAATTTTTTAATAGCTTTACTGTTGGTCATAATTTTTGTCACGGTAAGCTGTGCCTAGTAGAGTTTTCTCAAGAAGGATGGCTTAACCTGAACTTTTTCCTTAAGTAAGAGCAGTTCACACATCTAGTTGGAATGCTAAGTTACTGACTTTTCTGAGATGCTGAGATGATCCTGATCTCAGACTATGCCTGTTCAGTAGAATTTCTACTGGGCAGCACTTGAAGTATTTACTTGTCTATATAACATAATTTGAAGAGCTGCACTGTGTTAATAACTGAGTCCTTGAGCTTTCTTGTGCAGTACCAGATCTCAGCGTGTCCTCACTGAATTGAAAAGGTGTTATTACAAAAAAAAAAAAGCATGTTGGTGAAAGGAGTTACTATTGATATTGTTCCCTCCAGTGAAAGTAGCTGTCTGAGGTCTGTAAGTTCAAGGTATCAGTGCCAAAATATTTCTTGGAAAAGCTTAAGCATTTTGACATGCTCTCAAATGTTGTAGGTTATATCTTCTTTCTAGATTTTCCAAGCAACACTTGTCAGAACACCTGTGTGCCAGGCCACACTGTTGTGAACAGGAATTGTTGATAGATGTGATACAGAGAATATTCCCGCTTGCAGTACCTTAATGTGGAGTTCTTGATTACATCTTCCATAGAGGGTGGTTTTTTTTTAGTCCAAATAATCTCAAAGTAAACATTACACTCTTTATGTCACATGACTGCTTTCATCTTTCTTAGGACATTTCTTCATTGCAAATTTACTAGTCACAAAATTCATTTTCAATTCATGACCAATATGTTCACAGCTTGCCCGTGTTTAGCCCTCCCAAATGTCACAGTGATCTGTGGGCCTTCTTTCTGTTTATGGATTATCACTTGGTCTAGAAACATAAGAGAAGTAATTAATAGGATATCCCTGTATTTAAATTAATAAAAACTACTGAAGGACATACCTGCCGAGCAGGAGTGAACTTCAGTGTTTCTTCTGAAGCTTCTAGTTTTAATAACTGAGACTATATTTGGAACATTACTATATACCAAGAAGCAGAGGAATTCAGGGCAGTAGAAGTCAGCAAGTCAGACCAGCTGCTGTGCCTCCTGTTGCTCTGTATGAAGACAGAGTGAAGTAATGCAGATCATTGGTGTCTGAAAAAAGCTCTTCAGGTCTGCCTGAGTATGTGTCATGAAATGTCTGGGGCATTTTTGCTGATAGATTTCTCAAAGCCATTTAATTACAATGCATTAATTGATTAGTTTATTCATAAACAGTAGAGTTTACTTACCTTGGTCATTTGAGCAAATTTGAACATTAGCATAATTCTCTTGCTTGGTTCACAGTAAATACAAAGTTGCAGTTGTATCACTTAGACCTCTGTTAATGCAGAGAAGAGTAACACATGTATATGTTCCTTTTAAGACTATTTTAATGAGATGAAGGAGTATGGGCCCATCCACACGCTGTGGTCAGCATCAGAAGAAGACCTTGCAGACTCCCTGAAGGGCATTGCCAGCTGCATCGAGCGCTGCTGCAGGGCAACGGAGAAGAGAATGGCAGGGCTCTCAGAGCACCTGCTGCCCATCTTACATGAATACGTTCTCTACAGTGAAATTCTCATGGTAAGCTCTCCTGAAGGACTCCTTATGGCTCAATAGAAGATTTGGCTTAGTCCAGTGACAGTGTCCAGGAGAGAATTTATAGCTAATGAAAATGACTTTACAGTCCCTGTATTACTCAGTACAAAGCATGCACAGCATATGGTACCTGTCCATTAGTGGAGAGTCGATTGGGCCTGTTTCTCTTGCGAATCAGGCAAGAGGTGCCCCTTCCAAATAAAAAGAGCTTGATAGTTTTGCCTGGCAGGCAGCCATGGGTAGCTGTGCTAGTGTGTCTAGTTTTACCATCTTCAGGGAGCTCTACATTGTAGCAGAGAGGGTTTGGGGACAGCAGCTGAGAAAGACCTTCCCTGACACTGCCAAAATATGAACTCATTGAGTAACAGATTGTGTGTGGGAAAAGGAGTGGAGAGGTTTTTCCCTTTCTAGGAGCTCTTCCTAAGTATGTTTTCTTTTTCCAGAACAGCTGGGAACTTCCAGTCCCTGCACCATTATATAAGCATGTGTTAGTCTTTGCCATAAGCTACTGCTCTCAGTTCCCTTTATGTATGTATTTTTCTTACACTTGGAGAGGATGTAAAAAATTAGACTCCAGAGTTGATATAGTCAGTGCTGGTGGATAATCAACATAATTAAGTAACTGAATTCAGTATGTCATAATTCCCACTTTGCTGCCTACAGAAAGCAGAACATGTGTACAAACCCCTCTTTGTCTAGGTTTTGAGCAATGCCAGCTGCAGAATCTGTTTTTGTGTTACTACTGGGAACCCAGCTCCTGCTGCAGTGCTTTCTGTGTAGGGGCTGCAGGAGTCTTACAGGCCACGGGTAGAGCAAGACCCAAGTTAACTGAGCCTTTGGTGGCACTCTGCAGGGTATTGCCACTTTCTCAGTAAGGCTTAGCTACTGAGAGTGAGGAATTCCTGCTGCAATGACTGCTGTCTTTAAAACAAGCTTCACAGAAGAAGGGGCCACACAGAATGTCCTAGATCTCAGAGGCCTAATTATTTGCTGGTAGATGGAGGTAGGTACTGCTTTGCTTAAAGATCTGAAGAGATTACTGTCCTAGCAACTGCAGGTCATCTTCTCCCCCACCTGCAACCTTATTTTTCAGAATTTCTATGTCTGTTACCCATAAGCAGTTGTAGTCTTCATGCCACTGAGGAGATGCTGCCCGCCCATTGCCTTCTATTTTGCATCCTGGCTCACCCTCACCCTTTCTCAGACGTTTTGTTTTGTTTTGTTCAGAGCACAGAGGGGTTTCTGGGGACAAGCCCCAGGATGGCTACCTAGCTCTTCCTGCACAACTTACTGTTGCCCACTGCATTTTTTTCCTGCTTGTAGCTTTCTTGATGCAGCACTTGCAACACAGTATTAGGCTGCCATGAGGTCTTGTCCAGAGGAGAATCTTCCTTCAGTAACTCATTCCCATTTCACAACTGTTCCTTTTCCTTCATTCACTATGGATTATTATTTTACTTACTGCTTATTTCCCTCTTGCACTTTGGAGAGGGAAGTACTAGTCAGTAAAATAAAATACCTAAAAATACCCTGTGGAAGTCACCCATTAGTAAACCTTTCAGAATTTAACCCCTCATCACAGGGACCTTGGTGCATTGCTGCCAAGATGACATGCAAATGTGCAGTACAAGGTGTGATCAATACAATCCAATCCTTGTATTTTCCAGTGTTCAGAGTTCAGCCTGTAACTGGGAAAAGAGTTGAATTCATAGCTAAAACATTTACATCTGGACCAATCCCTTCCTACCTGACCCACAGAGCAAGTCTGCTGTCCCTCAGGGTACAAATTACAGCATTAATTAGTTATAGGTCCACATAAAATTATTTGTGGGTTTTTGACATTAAATACTATACCGAAAACTTGTAAAGGTATAAAATAATATGTTATAAAAATACAGTGCCTTTGTTTGCCATTAGAAGTCAGCACTTGTCTATAGATGTAGCACCTTAATATTAAAGTAATTGGTTTTGTCGTGTAATTTAAAGTGTATGTATGATAAATGTTGCCAAGCAGTCATTAAAAATTTTAAGAGGCAAAAAAATAGGAAAAACGAGAAAACATTTATATTATGAAGAAGAGTTGTTCCAGACATTTGTTTTTCTTCTGTGCTTCCAGCTACACATTTTCTGTATTTATCAAACCAAAAGATTCCAAGCTATTGATGAGCATTTGTCTGTATTGCTAATTTATTGCTCAAAGTCAGGTTAACCAATTTTTTGTAGTGATTACCTGTTCAAAAAGACACATTGAAAAATTATTTGAAAATTAAGCTCCTAAATGATTCTGTCATGTTTGATAAAGTGTCAAGATTTCAGAGAGAACTCAGTCAAATAAGAGAGCTAGAGAAGGTAGAGCTGCTTGTGCCCTGTGCTGTTTCAACATGCCTTATGCTAGAGGTGAATACTGAACATCTCTGCAGAAGAAGCAGTAAAACCAGTTGTGGCAAGGTAATGTAACAGAAGGTTTTGAGATTTGTAATTATATATGTCCTGCTTCTGATTTTTTTTCAAAAAGACTAAAGCCTTGCAACTTCTACAAGATTAGCATACCAGAGTGTGCTTTTACAGATGAGGAAGCTAAGACAAAGAGACATTTGTAAGGCTTCATCAAGGTCTCAGAGCAAATGAGCATTGGAAATGGAAATTTAATCTGTAATACTGTTCCTGTTTTGTAGCTTAACAAGTAATATTCCTTCCCCTTTCTAATTATTTTTTTGACATTATGGTAAAAACCCAATACCTGATAAGACAGTTTCAAAGGAAGTAAAAATTACATATGCTGAAAATAAGCACATATATTAATGGTAGGAAAGCTGTCATTCCTATGATAATTTTATCTGATTTTTCCGATATTTTTTCTGATTTTCCAGAACTATATTTGGCACTTAGAAAATAATATTAAAGGTTAAAGTCACTATTTCAAAAATGCCTTGTATACCATTTGTAGTCATTCTATTTTATATTGAAAATTTTACTCAAAGAAGATACATCTGTTCATGGGATTTGACAAACTCACGTTGCTGTTTTTAAATGAATATATAGTAAGTTAAGCTGATACCAAGTAAACTGCTGTAGCAGTTCTGCTCATACAACTGGCAGTGATAGGTGTATGGCAGATTCTTGTGGCACTGATTTTGGATTTAGTAAGATTATTGAAAAATCCGTAAGATAAAATACAGATATGGAAAAATAAGTCTTCATGATTTTAATTTTTTTGATAAAACATATATCATGTAAAAATTATTAAATGGTATCTTTCTGTCATCTTCTTTATCAAATAGCCAAGTTGTTTGATGGTTTTCTGAAAGAGCTAAAATGTGGTGTGGGTTTTTTGTTTTTCTTTTTCTTTTTCCTTCCATACTAAGGGTGTTTTGAAAAGGAGAGACCAAATTCAAGGAGAGCTGGATTCCAAAGTTGATGCTTTAGCCAATAAAAAGACAGAAAAGGATCTGGTGAGTATTTTCAGAAAGCTGGACTCTTCCAGGACTGTTTGTGACGGCAGGAGAGGCGCAGAAGGACACATGTCCCCTGAGGCCACGGGCTGGCACTGGCTGCTGGCTGCCCCTCTGGTGGCTCTCGGTGCCAGGCAAAGGCCATCAGGAGAGAGAAGCAGCACTTCAGCAGCTGGGCTGCTGGACGGAAGGGCTGGTCATGCTGGGCCAGTGACCACTGGCCTTTGTCAGCACACACTGTACCACAGGAGATTTTTAGTTTTTCTATTTCCTAAAACAGTTGAAAGAAAGTAACAGTTGCTGCAGTGCTCTTGTAGCTACTGCTTCATTGATGTAGGAGAGGTAGAAGAGGTGATTAGAGTCAGCAAAGCTGTTCATTAAACTTATTTAAACTAAAATGTTCTGCATTCTGTTCATTCTGTTTTTCAGGTTTCTGTTTTTCCTAGTTGGGCCCAGGGATATTTTTTTTGTTTCCGCTATGAAACCTTCATTCATTCTAGTGAAGTCAGAGTGTAACTGGTACCCCATGGGGATAGGCATCCCCAAAACCACCAGCAGGGCTCAGCACCCAATTAAAAACAATTTCTGGGATAAGAATTGGCATTTTTAAAGTTTTTCATTGTTAAACTCTCCAGGCTAAATAATGTCCTTTTAGCACAGTATTAATACAAAGTGTTACACAGTGTAAACAATATGTAAAAATTACTAGTAACTTTTTTAGTACATCACAGGAGAAAATCCTTAACATTTCAGATACTTTTCATTAGTCTTGTTGTAATTAGTCTCCATGTAAATATGATCTGTTTAGATGGTTTTTGGGACTTGAGATGCATATTTTAATTTGATTTTTTTTGGCACTGAGATGAATAAACAAGAATATATTGCAGATCTCTGATAGCTACAATGGCTATGGTATATTATATAACGATTTGCCTCTGTGTACTGCAGTGGGACATTAAGTAAATATCTCTGGTTTTGGGTTTTTTTTCCTGAAGCAGAAATTTTGTTTACTTACTGCCTTTGTGTTCTGTAATTTGTTTTTGTTTCTCTGCTTTCTTTGCTGTTTCTCCTGTCCTTCTTCCTTAGTTTATAGCCCGAAGCTCTTATAAAATGCACAGAGGCTGGTGAGTTGGAGAAGCCCCCTAGGCTGGGAGTTGGGTAGCCGTGGCAGGTGCATTCAGCTCCATACAGCTTGTTTAGCAGCCAGAACCATTTTTGTTTACTGTAGTAAAGACACCATAGCTTGGCAGGATGTACCTTCTTTTCAGGATGCATTTCTCTTATAGTCATGGAGTTCTCAGACAATGTGCATGCACTCTCTTTTCCTGAACTGTTACAAATAAAAAAGGAATATTTTTATTTTAGCATAGTACTGATCATACCAGGTTGATTTGATATTGACAGTGGTTTACTACATCATGAGATGTTTGTATTTGCTTCCAGTAGGATTTTGAAATCAATTTGCCCAATCTTATTTTTTTTCACTGTGTATATGTTTCCATATCTGCGTTTACAGTTTGGTACAGGCTTTGGACACTCTGATTACCAAGATGTTCAGATCTTTGCTTTATCTTTTCAACCCCTCTCTTTCTTACTAATTTCAGAGAATCCTGTTTCTGAGAGCCTGGTTCTCCTTGCAGTCTCAGAAGAGCAGTAAAACAGATGTCTGTTAGTCTAATCTGATAATAAAATCCTGTGTTCTCTAATTGAGTGGCAGCTGTAACCTGAAGATTTTTTCTTAATTAGAAGCTGAAATCTTTTCTTCTAGTAAGGATAGTTTGGCAACAAAGAATGATGTACTGCTATTTTTAACTATTCGAGTGACTTAACTATATTCTTGGTCGTTATTTTACTATGTTACCATTTTTGTGTTGAAATATTTTTCAGACACTTCTAGCCAGACTTATTTCATAATAAGAGGTGATCATAACACAGGTATGTTGTTGGAACGGGTGTCAGACACCAGGTTTGGGTGTATTTGCACATATCTATTCCTAAGCAGAACTCCTGTAGCTTCTAATGATCTCACAGATGTCAGATTGAACTTGTCAGTGCAATCTAGTAGCCAGAAATTTTGCTGACAATGAGTGGCGTGAAACCTAATCTCATTTGAAGTACATTTCTACCACAGATAAGGAGTCAAAGACTGTCATTAGAGCTGATAAAAGGCTGTGAGATATTTAGCATTGGTCATGGCAAACATTAAATGATTTAACAAACATAAGGTTGTACAGCAGAAGAATGCAAAACATCCCTAAGGTCAGTGCAGATGAAATAGGCTGGAATTGCAAATTAAACCTTATGGGACATTAGGCTTATTGGCTGGGAAAAAATGTTTTCTTGAGCTGTGTTTCTTGTGCTTGTGGTGCTGCTACAAAAGCCAAAACCTTGGTTTCTGCTCCAAAATTTGGTCCACAAAGGAGGCAGTTGTTCAGGGTATGGATGGTTTGAAGACTGTGATTTTGGATGCAGGCTCTGAGAGAGATTGGCAGGACTTTGGTACCCTCCTGCTTATCTAGACATTTCTTACCTCCAGAGCTGTGGCTATAAAGATAGTGGGATATGCTGCTCCATGACTCCCACACTCCATCCTGAAGTTTACACAGCAATGCTAGTGTATCCCTCTGTGGTTTGGGCATTTTTACAGTTTTAGTCTTGCCACTAGGGCTTATAATAATACTGAAAAAAGGTTGGTGTAAATGTGCTCTGACAGAGCGAGATAAGCATTAAATGCTAACTTTAAGGATTCTAGTGTTCAGGCTTGAAACTGAGTAGTAAAGAGACGAAATGCTGAATCTATTAAATTCTGAATATATTTTGTATTTTAACTCCAGGCTAAAAAGGGGTTAGTATCACCAAGCTGTAGGATTAATTCACATAGCAGATAGAAATCTGTGCTATTTTGCATAGTGAGATAGTGTAAAATGCTGTGTCACTTACCATGTAATTTGGGTGCTGGGCCAGGTTTCTTTGGCTACGGTCACATGGTCCATGTCTGGTAGCACTCTGTCCTAGCAATGCCTGGCTCCCACCTTCCTGTGCTCTGGTCTCATGTCTATGAGTGCTGTGCTGGCCTCTAGCCATCACTGATGGGAGATTTCATTTCTCACACTGGCTGCCTCAGTGGGATCAGTGTAAGGAAATGGATTCAGAATCCTGTTGAATTTGCAGGATCAGTTGTAACAATCTACACCTTGTAAATGAGGAACACACTAGGTAAATGTTTTTAAATCCAAGCCATTCTTTCATTTCTGCTGTCATGGCAGCTAAAGAGAGTACCATTGCTGGGTTTTTTCAATTTTGAAAAAGTAGACTTTGAATGTCTCTACTTGATATAGTGACATGTGGCATAATGCTGCCTTTAGACCTGAAGTCCAACCCTTGCCTTAATACAACACATGATTTCTTTGGGGCTTTAGAGTGGGATGTTTAAACTACATGTCCAGGCAGAGTGGTATAAGAGAGTCTACCTGTCCATATCATGTTCTGACTACAATATGGAAGAAATTTGTAGCTCCTAGAAAAGGCTAGACAAAAACAAACTGTAAAATAACTTCAAGTTGTAAAGTTACACAGACTGAAGTAAGGGGAAGCTGCTGCACCCAGGACTTCGAAGTCAGAGAAGTTCTGTATGTGTATAAACTAGTGCATTCCCATATAGGAACTTTTTTTCTTGCAAAACAGAGAATGGATTCAACTGCGTTTCCTACTCTAAATCATCTTAAAATGTCATCATTTTCAGTATTCTGTGCACATTCATCTTTTGGTATTTGAAGGAAAGGCAATTAGCATGGAACATGGTCAAAATACCAAATCCAGTTGTCTGTAATTCCTTTAAAGGTAATTCTCCCGCATTTAAACTTTGGATTAACCTTTTCATTTTGAATGCAGTGACTTTAGTTCAAATTACCCTTGTCTGTAACTTGATTAGTGGTCTGGCCAGATAACTGGACTTGGGCTTTTCAGTAAAGTAGAATTTTTTTTTTCATTTTGTTTCTCATTAATAACCAATATTTCATTAATCTAGAAGTGTGGCACAGAAAGTCAGTGTAGAAGTAATATCAAACTAAAAATGTTTATTATTGGCTCTGTATGACATCGATTCAGATGAAATATTCAGTTCTACTATCTAAGGAGTTCTTGGGTTCTTCAAGAGCTGAATGGGATCCAGGTTCCATTTCAGGCAGTGTTTGGTGACTCAGTTTGTCTCTGATGGCAGCACCACTGCTGTTGCACTTGATCATTGTCCTCCTCTGCATGGTCCAAGCTGGAGGCTGGCAAGACTTTCCATGTCTTGCTCTGAATTCTGACGTTTCTGTGTTCTACCAGTCCTGGATGTTAGTCCTGGAATCCTGAACTTCCTATCAATGAAAACAGCAGCTCTGCAGAAAGCAAAAGGAGCTGTCCAACTTTACACAGGTGTGGTATGAGGAAGAAACTATTTGCTTTATAGAAGAATATAAGGATGAAGAAGAAGTGTATGGAGCCTGAGTTGCAATGGAAGCAATTTGAGGAATTAAGTTTTCCTTCTTGATGTTCCTTATTTTGGTGGTGTTTGTCCCTGCCCTCCTTCCTGCTGCAGACAGTGGCTCTGCAGTCCCTTCTCTGCAGCAGATGATTCTACACTGTAGCCACAGATGTACCTCATTCTGTAACCCTGTGCCAGCCAGAACAGACACAGCTGATGAGTAAATGGCAATAGGTAACTGAATTACTGAGAAACCAGAAAAACTCATTAAAGACAGGGATGCTGCCCACTCACTCCCATTAGCTGGCAAGTCAGTTTGTGCATCTGCAGTAATTAGAAGCAAGTAATGTCTGTAGAGTAGCCCTCAAGGTTTTGGGTTCTGGATTGCTGTGAGAGTTTCTTCTCTGTAGAAGTCCTGTCATTTCATTTCTTTCTCTGCTTCTGTATTTCTCTTTCCCTCATACGGTCACACACAGTTGCATGAGAAAAGATGGTAATGTGACACGTAAGAAATCAGAAAGTTTGTGATTTTGATTTCTGCTGTCTTCTCCCCATTCTGTTTTCTCCTGTTATCAAAGATTCTGTCAGGATTTTCTCAGCTTTTCTGGCCAAATCTAATTTGTACAATTGATTCTGCTTCAGTAAAGCCCTCTATATATTTCTTTTTTGTTGCATTAATGTCAAGTGGTAGTGAAGAGATGCCAGAGTCTCTAACTTCTCAGTGAATAAAAATATCTCCAGGAACACTTTAATTCTGGTTTATATTTTCTGTTACTAATATTTCAGAATTGTAGTGAGTTATTAATTAAGAATTAATTTTAAATTTATCCCTGGGGAAAGACTTTTTTGCTAAGTTAAATACCAGCTTTGGTTCTGCAGTTCTCTTCGTCTCCACTACCGGCAGTTGATTTCAATAATTTTGGAAATGTTGATTTTCCTAATATTTTTTAATGTTTACAATTAATATTTAGTTCTCAGAAGAGATTGGGAAACTTGAAGACAAAGTTGAACGTGCCAATAATGCTCTGAAAGCGGACTGGGACAGGTGGAAGCAGAACATGCAGTGGGATATGAGATCAACATTCACTAATGTGGCTGAGAATAATCTCCGTTATTATGAAGAGGTAAAGCTCTTTCTCAAAAAAATGTTATTTTTTCATTACTTCAGTGAAGAAGTCCATGGGTTCTCTATAAAGAGGAAGTTTTCCATTTTAGTTCAAACATTTGGTAACTTTGGAATCAGTTTCTGTGGGAATAATGAGGCAGTTATCCTTAACTGGACGGATTTCAAGCAGAATATATTTTATTGTGCCCAAGTCGTTGATCCTGAATTCATCATCGACAGAGGGCACTCTTGTTTTACTAACCACAACAACTTGGAACATGATTTTCAGTTCAATGTCAGCTGCTGTATTTCAGTTTGGAAACATTTTACTGCGAGAGCATGAAGAAGCCTTCTGAAAGGCTCAGACCTGTAAGGAAAACGTTTAAATGTGATTCCATCAGATTTTTATTTTCAGCTCAAATGCCGCAGGTAATGTTCTTGGTAAGAATTTCCAAGAATATATGCTAGGAAGGAGAATTTGAAAACATATAACAAAATACATTAAGCATTCTGTGAAGTTTCCTCATGGGGAACACAATGTTGATTGAAATGCGCATTTTGAAAATATCCCAGATGTCTTCAGGTTTTTAAAATAATTTCTCCTTACTTTTGGGGAAAAATGGAATGCACTGAGCCATCTATTAATCATAAATTAGTCATTTTCACAGATATATTTCGGTATCTGAAACTTCAGTCCTATAGTCTGAGCCTTTTATGGATTGCACATTAGCCAATGGCAGTGGTCTGATTTTACAAATCATTTTGTTAGAACATAATTGAAAAGACAGAGCACTTGATCATCAAGTCGAATTAATTAACATGCAGTCTGTGAGATGCATGGACATTGACAATCTGTTGTTACATATTAAGATCAAAATATTTTCAGAAATCAGGCAGCAAGCTTTTGGCATCCTCTAACATTGTCTTCATTTATTGATGGTCTCTGACTTCTATAGCAGCAACATGGATGTTAAAACAATGCTGAATATATTAGAATATTTTCTTTGGGGATGATTAGCTAAAACATAAAAATAATTATTTGGTTATTTTTCCTGTCTAGAAATGCTTTTTGCTGAATTAGAAGTTTAATTCAGAACACCAAAGCCCTTATTGTACATGAAATTACTCATCTTAAGCACAAACTGCAGAAAATAATTCAGCTGTCTCTGCAACTGCCAGAAGTTCTTCTTAAATAGCCTCTGAAACACCAGACAAATTGGTTTACACTGAGACATGATCTTTTGTTGGTGCTTTTCTTGAATATTGAAATCTTCATTAATTGGTTTTGCTGTTACATCTTTGTAGATCTACATTTTAGAAAAAGCACCTTATCCTACTACAGCAGTAGTAATAATAAGCAACATTGTGCTAACTGTATCATTCCTTGTTTGCAAACTGAGTGCTTACCAATTCCTTTCTGCTTTATCAGAAAATCATTATCTAATCCTGATATTCAAAAGAACTTGATCAAGTTAATATTTTGATTGGGAATTTTGACCTAAAATACATTTATTTAAGACCTATGGTTAATGGTGATGGTTAATTATTAGAGAAGTGATTACTTTTTACTGTCAGAGGCCCATGTATCTCGAACTACAAGTGTGTACTCCTGAAAGCAGCAGGAAACGAAGCTCTGGCATCTGCTCCTGCTGTTTGGGAGTGAAACTTCAGGAAGGGAATCTCAGAAACCTGAGAAGATTATTTTTATGCGTTCAGTAGGAAAGAAAATCCAACTTTAAATGTAATAGTTTGAGTCTGTCTCATTAAATTCATGCAAAGCACAGTGTCTGTTACAGTGTTTTTCGCTTGTTCAATTATTACTTGCTTCATTAGCATTCTTTCACATGGCTGAAGTTACTCATTCAGACTTTTGATGCACCATTTGATGCTTACTAAGCCTTTTCTTGCTGTAACATCCCTCATGTTATTTCCTGCCTTTTCTCTTCCCAAAGCACGTTCTGTGTATTTTCCCAGGCACCATGGATGCTATGAATGTGATTCAGTTGCTCAGTTCTTCTGTCCAACTCCTACAAGGAATCATCTCCTGCTTTCTAACTCAGTGACTACCTGCTTCTTATCCTTTCCACAACTTTCCCCATCCCTCAGTTAAACTCTTCTTGCCTCCCTACAAGCAGTGCCCCATTCTCTTCTCTACAGCAGCACTTCACTTCTCATTATAATGCTTCTCATTATTCCCCTTGCTGACTGCATTTCCCAGGCACACAACCAAAGAAGGAGTCATTTCTGTTCACGGTCATTCTCTGCATCCCTTAATTTTTGGGAACCACAGAGTAATGCATCTTGTATTTTCTGATGGCTGCTGTAGTAGAGAATGCAGTCCTTCAAAACTGTATAAAACCCAAGCTAGTGTGGTCAAAAAAAACAGCAGCATGTCAAAGTACACTAGAATTTGTAAAATGTCACTTCATCTTTGTCACAATTTAGGCAAAGAGTATGACCTTACGTTTCTTTGGGTTTTTCCTTAAATATTGTTGCCTAAGGATTCTGCTGTCAACTTGTCAAGCATCACTTAGCTAGCATAAAAGAATATCTCTTCTTTAAGCTGAATTAATGTTCATGTTAATTAAGTGTTACTCCAGAAGTTTTACCTTCCATTATGTTTCTCCAGATTTACAAATTTAAGAGTCTCTAGTCTTCCAGTTCATTGGCTGTCTGCATTTATTATACTTGAATAAGAAGTGTTGCTTTGTTTCTACAGCTGTTTTGTGTCTCTCAGTGCTGTGATAACAGAGGCATGAATAAAAGCCCAGTGTTGTAGATTTACAGGGTGCTCCTGTGGCAGGGCTATGAAAACAAAAGCTTTCAAGTGAAAATGTGCAAGCTTTGTTATAATATATTTAAAATCATTTAGGAGACAGGAATTACCATGACTGACCAATCATTTGGTATTCCTGTAGCTATTCTCAATGGTTCATACAGCTGTGTACTTCCTTTCCTCTGGAAGAGCTGAATACATCCTTAAGTCTCTCCGTATTCCACAAAGTCTTAAATCCAAAAAAATACTGTACTAACAATGACAGTAAATGCATTGCTAAAATAAGGACTTTCTGAAACAAAATGGAAAGGTTGTAATTTTTAAAAGTTCATAAATTGACTCCTATTTCTGAAGTAAATAGCATTGATTCAGCATGTGCTAACATTACCATTTATTTTATTCCTTTCCACTGGGCCTTGTCTGACAGCTTATTCCAGAAGAGGTATCTGCCAAACAGCTGGAATCACAAACTGCCCACAGGGTGGAGCTTTCATCTGAGAAACCGACTGTCCCCATGAATTTAATTGTAATGAAAATAATTAATTTAGAAATAGATATTCTAAAGATGCAGCATTACTAAACCCAGAGCAGGATATGGAGTTAGTGGTGGTGCTGACAGTGTTATTTAGCTGGCAGGTTTGAAGTGCTGCTGCTGCAGATGAGCAGAACCAAACCAGGAACTGTTGAACTCTGGCTTCAAAGAGCAGAAGCAATTAAACATATGCTAATTTTATCACTTTTTTCTTCTCACATGTTTAGTATAGCTAGTACATATGTAACCAAAGAATTTTGGTAACCTGTTCTTTTCAGGAAAACCACCAGAATAAGTAGCTAGGTTTTACAGCCCAACCCGAAGACTAGTTAGACATTGTAAATCCAGAAAATATACTAGAGTTTGGGTTTCCAATGCTTGTTGGAAACTCCAGGAAATGCAGGCAGATTGGTATTTTTCCTAATCTGGGATGATAGTTTTGGCATTGAAAGAATGTGTTTTTCCTTGAGCATGGATGAACCTTTCTTTTAAAGCACAGCATTTGATTTTATTTATCATGTGAAATTAATCCTGTGTAACCCTTGCATATTAATCAGTTACACTTTATATAGTCAGATTCTTGTTGGTATTGGCACACCTTTCTATTTTCTGATTTTCTTAAGTATTTCAAGCACAATTTAGTATATTTCTGTGAGCTACATTGTTGTACAGGCATAAATTGATCCAAAAGATTCATTAGGGCAGAACAATACTTGTTCCCCATTACAGAAACTTTCCTCTAACTCCAAAGCCCTTATGTTCCTCTCTGCCTTGTAAAAGCTGTAGAAAAATAGATGAGATTTGTTATTTTCCCTGGAGCCCTCTGTAGTGATGTATTTCAGCAGTCATTTGGCTGTGTAGCAGAAAGTTGGCTGCTCCTGTGTGTTGATCACATCCTATCTCAGCCATGCCTGGGAGTTCACCTACCAAACTTCACAAGGTTTTCAAAAGCTCCCCCATCTGAGCCTGTCTGTCCCTATGCTTGTTGCTTCAAACACAGATCCATCTCTGAAGCCTCATTCACCTCAGCCTTTAAAATTTTTTAAAAATAATTTTGGGAAGACATTTTTTTAGAGTGGGAATTACTGTTTCTGTGTGTTCTAGTTTTCGTTTCCTTGCACACAGAAATCATGAAAGTATTTTTATTTCTTCCAGACACAAACAAGTCTTCATTTTCAGATTCTACTCCAAAAAATGCCATCATAAATGTTATTTTTAAGGTATCAGCCACGGATAAATGGGAACTGGAACAGAAACACACATGGCATGTGACACATTGCTTCTGCTAGCATCCTTACTACATGTTCTATTTTTCTATCTCCTTTTTCATTATATATGCAATTGTACTAAATGAAAAACTTTTTGCTGCTTTTTCAAAGAATGATGTAGATACATGTCCTCCAGTAGTAATCAGAATATTTTAGGTAAAGTAGCCTTATTTAAGTTCTCTGTATTTCATTTGTATATTTAGGCTTTTTTATGTTTTCCATCAGGCTTTTACAAGTAACTGGATTATGAATTTCTATCCTGCGCAAACACATTTAATTTCCTCAGTCTGGATTTTCTGGGTTTTTTTTTCCTTTCTATCTCCTTTGTGAAAACTGGCTGATCCTCTATTTAGATCTCCATTTTCAACCTCCCAGGAGAATGGAGCCATATCATTCTGTAATAATGCTGAAGTATACATCACTAACAAAATGTCGTTTATGCAGTTCATGCTTCACAATATGAAAAGCTTGAGCCTAAGGCACAGAGACCTAGTTTTGTTTTGGTGTGGTTAATTATAAAATTTGTCAGCTGTAGCAGCACTATGTCTGACAGTGAAATGAGCCACCATTGCTCTTACATTTTGAAAAATGTGTTTTGGTTATATAAACAGGGATAAATTAAAAGCTGAATAACTTCTGTGAAAAAATGTTTTGCATCTTTGTCTGGACAGACTTCAGTGGATCAAATCTATCTGGTTAACCAATGTGTTGTGATTGAATTTTAAAGTGCAGCTTGGCTCAGTGTTGCAAAGATAACACAAAGCCATTTTTACATTGCAGCCAGTGCTGATACATATATTTTAATTCACATTACTGAAATTACAGAATAACAAAACATGGACTTACATGGTAATTAAATTAAACTTTGGTTCAGAAAAAATCTCTCATTGCTAATGAAAGGCTCTTCAAGAAAAAGTGATGTTTTCTTGTACCACACCTAGAAAACGCTTAGAAAAACAGCTGTACCTTGCAGCTTTCTAGGATGGTAATCCAGACTGGGCTCTAACAAACAGAAATTCATGAGTTTGAGTGCCACAGTGAAGACACATTGCTAGCAGCTGCCTCACTGACATTTCAAAACCTAGAGGCCACATTCCATCTCAGGCCTCTCAGATAGACTCAGCTGCAACAGTGTCACATGAAGTTGGGGAGAATGTGAAGATCAAACTGAAAGGCTTTATGCAGAAGGTCAAAAAGACCTTTTAAATCAGAAATCAGTTTTCAACACTTGTGGCTCACTGTTCAGGCTGGCAGTATCTTCACTGTTTCTCCCCGGTGTGCCGTTTCAAAATAACATTTCTCCAAAAAGTCAATGAAGAAAGCAGATTTCCACGTGAATCTTACCCTGTTAATCCTCTCTTTTCACAGTAATTCAAACCTTAGATATACACTCAACAGCAGCATAATGTTGTTGTATGAGCAGCAGAAGTTACTTGGGGCTTTTGTCAGCAAGATCAGAAGAGAAAGAGTGGGGCAGTAAATTCATGGTATCCATAGTCTAGGAGAAAAAATGCGAATAACAGGAATGATCTCTACCATGCCTGATAATAGCCAAAAACCTGTGCAAAAATAAGCTCATACTTTTTCACTGTGATCTTTTAGTTCAGTTGGCTGTTTTAACTGTTCTCATTGTCTTGCAGACCCACATGTTCTGCTTTCTTGTGTCTTCAGAGACAAAGCTACTGCTGACTTGTTTATTTCTTTCTCTTGTTACTTTTGTCACCCTTAATTCTATGGGTATCCCTGGTTCTGTATCCTTGTGTCATCATGGATTTCCTCAGCTCCAGTCATCCTGTGTGTATTCTTTGTTTTTCTCTTTGAGCTTATATTTGACATTCTGAGATCCTCCCACTCATCTGCTTACACACAGACATGCAGTTATACCAGGACCTAGCTCTTCAATGTAGTCTGATTAAATCTCCATCTTTAATGGCAGAGTTGGAAGTCATTCACAAGAAATGTCTAATGGAGTTAGGTAGATGCAACTTCAAGCAGGGTCATTTCCATGTCTCCTAAGCAATGACAGATGGATATGAGGTATTTCAATAAGCTGGGCTTGAATAGTTTATGGCAAAAGATTTCAGTTAGGAAACTGATTTTCAGGGCACTGATTTAATTCAAAGTTCAGGTAAATGGAGTGGGCTGTCCAGGTTTTAATATATATTTCCTGGGAAGTTTCAGAAGACTTATTTATGGTGCATAATAAAGATTCTTCATGAAAAAAACTGTGTAGAGTAAGTAGTAAATCAGCTGCATTGTCAAGAACAATAGGTATGAATGTATAAGTCAAAATTTTGTAATAACATTTCCATTTCAAGGGCTTTTTTCTCAGTAGCATCAGAACAAGGAAATTACTGCATTAATTTGCCTGTCCTGTTCCAGTGACAGACTTGAAATAATAGAGACCTGGTGCTTTGGGTGACAAGCATCAACTCACTACAGGTTACCTCCTGATAGCCTTGCCATGGCTCTCAACACTAATTTATGATTTAGAATGGCTTGCCAAGCTGCCAACTCATTTAAGCCAAACTGAACCAAAGTCATTTGGGGGTTTTGTGTTCTGTTTTTTTTTTAATCTTCATTTTACTGCCTGCAGAATTGATGCTTCAAATAAAAATAATTAGTTTTTACAATTGTAAATACATTTTTCCATGAGCCACTTGTAAGGATAACAATTTCCCTACTCCCAGCCCCTGTCTTTCTAGTTCTATTTCTTTCCCATTACTCTGGGGAAAAATGAGTTCTCTCCTTATTTAGGAAAAAAATGGTTTAATTTAACTTGGAAGGAAAATGGGGTATACATTAGGAATCCACAGAGATTAAAAGGGAACAGTGCCTGACAATGTGCTTTCTATTTGGAAGAGATCTTTGCCTGTAACTAAAGGAAGAGATTAAAGAAGAGCATAATTAATGTTAGCATCTTCCATGCTACAACATACAATTACAGTGCTCACAGTGTGTGCTTGTCATTATGTAAAATTGACCTTTACAGCTCACTCAGCATGTTAGCTAACATTTTGCATATCACTGAGCTGCCTAGGAAACTGTATTTTGCTCTTACCGTGGTCCTACAAAAGCAGCTTGTGACAGTGTGTATGTAAAAATTTGTTTTCTCCTTGGCTATCAGCTTACAGAAATCTCTCTGCTGTACTCATATGTCTCATATGTATGTGTTTGGTTTTTTTAAGTGCCTTGCTACATGGGAGTCCTTCCTAACATCTCAAACAGTGGATCTTCATGTGGACGAAGATTCTGAAGACAGGCCTTGAGTAATAATCTCTGCTTGATCTCTGCCTTTTCCGTTCAGTTTCTCCCAACCAAAGTGCTTTATATGAAATCAGATACATTATTAAATTTAACTGTTAAAATCAGTGAAATGCAGAAAACCAGCTTATTGAACACTCAGGTATTCTGGTCCTGAAATACATTTTGAAACATGCTATATTATTGCTTTATATTGCTTAGCTCTGATTTTACATATTTTTGTGCACTTGCATACAATTGTTTTCATAAATATTGTGTAATTTTGATATAAAGTATTTTAAATATGTAAAAATAGCTGCATTTTAATAAAACATTGAATAAGTAAAGTTTGTCATCAATCTGTATCCTAGTCTTTTTAGAAGTATTTTGGCATTTTAGCTGCTTCTTCAGATTCTCTTTTTTGAGTAATTTCTTGTACTTGTAGAATTATATCACATAGTCCTCAAGGACTTTAGGAGTATTTTAATAGATCTTGTTAGCTGCACAATGGAAACATAGGACATAAAGATGTCAAACATGTTCTGTGAGACTAATGCTGCTTTAAAATGTTGATCATTTAGTTTTCAGTTTGCAGTATTTACATGTTTATTAGACATCTTCAATTTGATGAAGACATTTTCAATTTTTTAAAGGATAAAGAAAAAAGTGACAGTTCATGAAACAGACTGTTTGTACAGTGATGCCATTAGTCATAGCACTGATCCTGCCAACACAAGAACTTCCATTTGGAGTTTGCAGGGTGAAACTGCTCCCATGGCTGACCCTCCTGTACTCTTTAACTTCTTTCCTCTTTAGATAGTCAGTGTGGAAGAGAAGGGTTAAGAAACTAAGAGGTTTGCATTAAAATGATCTACTGATTCACTCATGCAATATGCATTAAAGTCTTCCAGTCACTGAATTATTCCACCCAAAAGGTCCTTCAGTCTGCAGCTGTAGTTTCTGCTGTTCTCCCTGGTCGTTAAGGTCTGAGCAAGCTGCAGGCTTTACATGGAAAGAATGAGGTGCAGGAACCAGAGACAGCCTAAGCAGGGCTCTGGCCTTGCAGAAGAGCAGGGCTTCAGCCACCGCCTGCAACTTTTGTGGTGGCATCTTGACAGCTTGCTCTGGTCAGTCACCTAATGGCTGCAGGGGACAATTCCAGAACACATGGCTGCTGCTCCTGGGTGGCTGTGGACCTGTCTAAGCTGGCAAGGATTTTGTGGCTTTGATCTTAAAAAATGCATATTGCAAGTAAGACCTGGAATACCAGCATGACCTTTTCAGCAATGCTAGTAAAATGCTCTCATGCTGCCTTATGTAGTAGTGAAAGCTCAGCTCTTTTTTTTTCATCTATGAAGCGTCAGTTAAGAAGCTCCTGAAATCCTGAAGGGAGCGTCCATGTCTCCCAGTGTGGTGAGTCTGTGCCAGGAGGGCAGTGCAGTGCTGAAGGGCTGTGCCTCTTCTCCAGCAGATCCTTGCAGGAGGCACGGAAGAACAACGTGGCTACACTGTGCTCTTTTCCCACTGTTAACTTCCTGATGATTTTTTTTAACATGAGAGCTTCTATCAATGTGCTTAATAGCCTTAATGGCTTTCCCTTTCCTTTTTTTCTTTTCCATCTAAACTCCTAGGATTTACCATGCTGAATATCAATGAATTCCACAACTTAATATGTAGGAAAAATCAATTAATTTTGTGATTTTCTGAACCAGCTGCCCAACAACTTCAGGTAATGCCTTCTGCCTGTTAAATTGTGAGAAGAGATGAACAGCTGTTTCCTATTTGTCTTCCCTGTGCCAATCAAGAATTTACAGACTCTGGAGTGTTTTCCAAGTACTGTCTGTTTTCCCAGAGGAAAAGCCATACCTTAATACCTTATTGTACAAAAGGCATTTCACATCTGTGCTCATTGTTACTGTTTTTCCTCTGTATTTTCTAGTTCCGCTGCAACCAGTGTTCAAAATGCAGACACACCAGAAATATACATGTTGTCATAATTATGCTTTGATTTTTGTCATCATGTTCCTAATTTATTTTTTGAAGTACCACTGAAATACCACTGAATGCTGAGCTGCCATTCCACAGAACTGTCCACAAAGCTATTCTGAAGGTTACTGAATAATTTAATATCCATCAGTGTGTATATATAGGAGAATTGGCTTTTCCCCAGTGAGCATTTATTTGCATTTATTAATACTTAATTTAGCTTGCTGTTTTTAGCTCCTAATCTCTCTGTAGTGTACAGTTCTATAAACAGGATTGCAACAAGACAGACAGCAGTAACACTGAATACCAGATAAGTGGAGGTTCAAGGAACTGAGCCTGAACAGGCTTACAGGATAGAAATACTTGAGTGTAACCAAAAATTACTACCATGTTGCTAATTTAGGCACCTCTAAGGACATATAATGTCTGGTTAGCTGATGGGGAGTGCCAATGTGTGTTGCATTGATTTTACCTCTATATTCTGCTGGACTAGAACCTTGTTACCTGAGACATTTGGAAATCAGAAGCACCATTGGATATTTTGCATTTTTGGTAAAAATGTTATGTTTGTGATTTATTTTTAATTTCTTTTTCTCTTAGCTAGGCCATAGCTTGTGGGGGAAAGACTTAAGCAGTCGGTTTTATAGAGGCCTTCTTGTGACCATGTATTTATTTTCCTGATTTTTTAGTAGCTCTATCATCACGTAAAAATAAGGTCTATTGTTAAGTATAATCAGTGTCCTTTTTGTGTCATGCAAATACTTCTAAAACTTACAATTTCAGAACGTCTATTGCATATTCAGACTTATTTCCAAAGACTTTTCTTTAACGGAGTCTTGCCTTCCTTAGGCTTATAATTAGAAAGTGCTTAATTTGATTACTGATAATCAGTCTGCCTCTTACTGGATTTTCATGCTGCCTGTGTATGCCAGTGGTTCATTTCTAGTGCCCTGCTGGGGGTTAGGTTTCTTGCCTTTTTTTTAATTTTTACATATAGAATTTTTTCCCATAGTTTCTAGGAAACACTAACAACTGTGCACTTAAGAAAAACAAAAGAAGTGGTCAAGCTCAGGAGAGGAGGGCAGGTAAAGGATGGGCTGGGGCAGCTGCTGGCCCTGTCTCTCTCCTCTCTCTCTTGGCTTCAGAGGACACCTGGAGCTGCTGCCACCACCAGAGCCCAGCCCCGAGCTGCTTCTGTGGTGGAGACAGCTGCTGCTCATGAGAGCAGCCACTGAACTGGGACCTTGTTAACACCTACCTCATTAAAGAGGGACTTTTCACCCTCTGCTTGTGTGCCCGGGATGCTGAGCTCACCCTTCTCTGCCCTGCTGGGAGCCTGGCCGCCTCTGCCTCGCCCCTGCTGCTTCTTCGGCACTGCCCAGCTTGGTGCTCCCGAGATCCTGCTGGGGCACAGGGATCGATTGCCCCAGGGGTTTGTGAAGCAAATCGTCTTCTCCATCCCTCCCGTCCGGGCCCAGCCGCCATGCCCGTGTGCTGCCCGAGCCCTGCCCACAGCGCCCCCTGCTGGCCCGGAGGAATCACGTGCCCGGGGAGCAGCAGCGCCCCCTGCCGGCCGTGTCCCTGGGCTCCTGCGCTGGTCGGTGTCAGCGCTGTGGCTGTTGGTGTTTGTTTGCCTTGTCACACACACCAGCAAAGAACTGGGATTCCTGTTCTCACAGGGGGCCTGAGAGCCCCTTAATTTCAAAATTATAATAATTCAGAAGGAAGGGATTTACATTTTCCATTCCAAGGGAGGCTCCTGCCTTCCTTAGCAGACACTTGTCTTTCAAGCCAAGACAGGCTGTAAAAAATGCATCTCTCTCGTTAGTCTGAAAACACATACAAAGAACAAAAACCTTCTCTAGTACCTAATAGGGCACCTGTTGTCACCAGAGCAAATTGCTGGCAGTAGAGGTGGAACAGGGTTGTGGGTAAGAAATCAGTAGCTCTAAGCAAGCACTGAATGATTTTAAAGGGTTGCCTGACTCTATCACTTTACAACTGATTTATGGCAACATGCATGTCCAGAGAAAAAAGAAGTAAATACAGTTTCTTCTGGCCCCTGCTGCTGTCAGCCTATGCCACGAATAGTGACCATTCAAAAAAATTTGTGTACTATGTATTGAATTCTTTCCATTTAGCTGATAGCTGTGGGCAGGATTTCACTTCTAGTATCACTAAAATATCAAAAATGCCAGCATAAATTAATCATGAAATCAACCTTCGAGCAGGAGCTTTGCAGGCCATGAGGAATATCAGGTGGTTTTCTTTCATATGTCTAAATCATATTTTAATATCAGACATCAGCACTGCCCACTATTTTGGACAAACTGTCCCTTGCAACTTCATGAACCTACGTGAAATAGGTTACTCTGATATGTTTTAATTTTACTCAAAAAAAAAAAAAAAAAAGGCTAAAAAACCCCTTTTCTAACAAATGGAGACGCTCCTTCCTGCCAGCTGATGTGACTGATTTGAGTGAGAAGAGGATGAGATTGTAAAACCTTTGCAGAAAGCACCTGGACAGCAAAGCATTCACAAAGCACTTCATAGCTTTGCAGCTTTTCCTGTGTGGACCTTCTGTGAACTGGCCATATGTCACCATTTACCACAGCCATCATTTACTCTCGTCCTGCCATCATGGTGAAGAGAGGAGCCTCATCTATGCAACCCCACAGAGGCTCCTTATCGAATAGAGAGACTGAAAGCAGTGCTGACCACAGCATGAACCATGCACTCCTTCACAAAACACACTGTGCTGCATTTTCAAGCTGCACCAATGTTCGGATGCAGCCCCCAGTGTTGGTGCCACTGCCTCACTGGGAGGAACAGAGGGGCAACAACTCATCTGAACCTGAAAGGGACAGACACAAACTTTCAGCAGGTTTGGGAGTTCTGGAGACCTGAAAAGTGAGGGTACATCCTGGTTTAGGTAAGATAAACAATTGAAGAAATGAAGAGCAGTAAGAGGATGTCCTTGTCTAAAACATAATTGAGAAAATGTATTTTAAAACATTGTATTCATTTTCCTACAGGCAGAAAGTCATATTTGAGGTTTAAAATATTTTACCTGGACTGTGAAATGACAGCGATTTTCCAGCAGGAATAATTCATTTGATAGTTGTATTACTTAGAAGTTTACTTAAGGTATAAGCATTATTATGTCTGCATTAATATTTAACCACGAGTTACCAGAGAGCCATTAACTCTTAAAACCAAACTAAGAAACTTCCTTGGAATCAAAGCAACAGTGAATATGTGATGTGGGAAAGACTGGCTGTTCTTTAAATAATTGTTATAACACCATGGCAGGTGAAAGAGCAACTGAACTGCTTTTTTGAATTAACTTATTCAATTAAAAAAAAATAGCTGCAATATT